AAAAGCCCCTCACTCCACACTGGCACACGTGTTTCAAAAATTAATTGGTATCTATTTTTTTATTATCTATTTAATTTTCAAAGGGCTTAATCACATGAAGATGCCCTATAATACTCTGGTTCATATTTTTAAAAAATGAAATGGAAATCATTTTAATACGATAGCTGATTCAGAGAGTATGCCAAAATCTACATGCAAATATTCTCAGAAAGAGAATGGCAGAGCCACTGACCATCCTTCAAAAAGCTAAACAACTTTGGCTGATCTCTTAAAAAAAAGCTCCACCCCAGGCACCAGCAGGGGTTGCTATGCTGCTGTCTGTGCTGGATCCAAATGGAAGAAGCAATATGTTTTTGGTTGTTAATGCATTGAGCCCCTCACTCCTATGTTCATGTTGCATGTTATGTGTATATCCCAAAGACACTCTGCTGACATCCATTCCAAGGAAACTGAACCCTAGAAAAGCATTTACTTCGGAGGGAGGGTTGGTGAAATTTTGAGACTTTGTGCAATGAATAAGAAAAATATAATTTTGTATGGCTCATTGTTTATTGAATACTTATACTAGCAATTCAATAACTCAAAACTATATACGTATGCAAATGTCATTACACTTAGATGTTCACATTTGAATGCAATTAAGGTTGCATGGTCAATGTAATCTCATCTTTTTAGTTCTGCCTCTTTCATTGGAAACACGTATTAGAAATACTGTACTGACATGTATCACGTTTTTTCTTTAAGTAGTTGCCAGCTGAAAAATTTGTAACTATCAGTCCAATCCATGTTGTAGGGTGCTACCTAAGAATATCCAACATTTCCTGGCTTTTTGGTTTGCCATTATTGAAGTCAACAAGAATCCAAAGCTTTTACCTAATGTCACTCTGGGTTTCCGTCTACTTGACAACTTGTGCGATGGAAGACTCACTTATTTCACAACAATGCAGTTGCTCACATCAGGAGGTGTTAGGACCAATAATTATAACTGTGATACAAAGAACAGTGTCTTGGCCATTGTTGGGGGACTTGCATCTGAAAACTCCATTGAAATATCAAATATTGCGAGCACCTACAAAATGGCTCAGGTATGGACTTTTGGATTGGGAAGAGGGGTCATGTACTTTCAAAGGACTATTCATTCATCAAAATGATTCATTTATTAAACATTCATCCTGATTTGCTTAGACAAAGCACTGTAAAGGTTAGATTTGCAGTCTTAATTGAGCATTCATTCTGATTGCAAGTTAATAAGCATTCACCCTCATTTCTTTGTGAACATTTTATATGTGTTGCTGCTAATTGTATGTATACACACAAACACATGGTTTTGCTTATATTGTTTATATTGGCTGAAACAGAATTTCATGTAAGCAAACAACCTGCAAGGCTTTCAAGAACATTTGCAAAATTTTCACTATATTTTCCTCCCCCATCCTGGATGTTTCAGCTCTTTTCACTTGATTCATTGCAGCTATATATATGCTTGTGCTTATAATTACCTTAGCAGGCCTTCCAAAAGATAAGTGATAGAGATGGATAGAGATGGATACATGGCGATAGCTAGACAGCTAGCTAGACTTTCGTCAAAGGCAAAACATGGATCTGCACAAAATCAAAACCCTTTGAAATTAACAACATACAGTATTACATTAGAGATCAAAGGGCCAGTTTCATAATTTTTTTGTTTCCTTACCATTTTCAGCCAACAGAAGTTAACACTGGGATTCATGGTCTTATATGTATTGCAATTTAAGCCCCTACTTGGACTCAGAGGGCTAGCTGTGGGTGAGAACTTCCCCCCCCCTGAGTATGGTTTCTTGATTTATGAGCAAAGTGTCATTCTTTTGCACATAAATGTCCATAGGGAACAATTCCTCCTCCATGGTAAAGTATTATCCTCAGATTCCCAGCTTTCCACTCATCCACACTTTGTCATGTGCCAAGAAATAATGAGTTCGAGTTTTCTGCTTGTCCCACACTTTCTAGGCGCAGGTGTGACTGGTTTTGCTCTTGCTTTACCACTTTCACTGGAAAAACCTACTCTCTAGAGATAAATTGGAGCAAATGTTAATCCAGAGAAAACCTGTCTGACATTTGCTCCAGTTGAGTGATAAAGATCAAGTTTTCTCCGGGGGAAAGTGGTAAGGTGAGGTCAATTCTTGATGAGCCCTTTGTTGAGAGAGAGAGAGAGAGAGAGAGAGAGAGAGAGAGAGAGAGAGAGAGATATTCTAGTATTTTTAGAACCTGAGATGTGAAACGAAATGTAGACATGATTCTCCTTTCGTGTGAGAAGTTAGCTTTATCCTTTTTTCCAGCATTGCTCCCCCAATCTTGCCTCCCGCTCAAAATTCCTGTGAATGCCCATGTGTATATAATGAACCAGCTGTTGATCTTTTGTGTCTATTCTGAGTGGCAGCAGCTCAGCAAATTCTTAAAGAGGTGTTTGTCGTGAGTCACTTGAAATTTAGATGCACAGGACTGAAGATGGTACCTTTTGAACATTCAGTGACTATGTACCATCAAACACATCGAAATGGCCCTGTGGAACTCTTTTGCAACAGAGGATTGGCAGATATAATCCCAGTTTGCTTTCAGGCATCTTCTACACATGGTATTATTCAGGAAGACCTTTTGAACCTGCAAATCTTTGCCAACCATATTTTACACTTATAAATACTTAAATACTATATATTAGATTTTGTTAAATATAGGACCAACCTAATTAACTTTAGTATTTTCCAGTTCCAGTAGTAATATGTTTATGTGGCTAACTTTCTCTGTTTGTTGTTACAGGTAAGGCTTTACTAGTGAGTGGTTGTGGACAAACCTATAGTAACTCCAAAGCTACCAATGTAGTATGCTTCATCTATGGGTATTCACTAATAATGTCTAATACAGGGATCACCAACCCATGGATGCCCTTGAGCCTCTTTCTTTCTTTCTTTCTTTCTTTCTTTCTTTCTTTCTTTCTTTCTTTCTTTCCAAACACTTTTGTTGGGTTTTAATAATGACAGGCAGATGTAAAAGGAATAAGTGAAATAAAAAAAGGTTTCAAAAAGATTAGCTGACACAATTGTCGCATAATGCAGCTATGTGATCTACTGAGTCAATAACTAATCATACCAAGTGGCAAAGAATGTGTGGCCCATAATTACAAAGGGTTCCATGGTCTAAGTGAAAACATTTTATTATTATTATCATTTCAAAAAAGAATGTAAAAAGTAATCTTGAACTGTAGCCAATGCTGACACTTACATAGACCTGTAGTACCCCATGCTTCTGAGCCACTGCATTTGTGTATAAAATAAAATTAGGCCGAGTGGCAAAGAAGCGATCTCTGAGCTTCCATGGTGGAGGGGAGTAAGTCTCTAGTCCCCCTTGAAAACAAAATGTTCAAGTATCCCTCTAGACACTTTTTGTGAAGCAGCCAGGCTGCTCCTACCTCTTAGGGTTTTAGCCAATAATGAAGTCAGAAATGAGCTAGGCAAAATGAATCAACTGGTTCCTAAATAATTGCTGTTTCACCTTCCCAGTTACTGCACTTTTCCTGTTTCTACTTTTCTAATGCCTACCTTACTCTCAAAGCACTTCAGGGACATCTATGGATTGCTTCTGTGAGTCATTAACATTACCAATAATCAGTTGGCTTCTATCTAACTGAAGAGGAAATCACATTTAATTTTGCAAGAGCCCTGCCCCCCCCCCAAAAAAAGCCATGAGCACATGGTAGACTCGGATACATGTCCTAAAGCCCATTCTACTATGGTAAAGCACAAGACAAATATTCAGATCGCAGGACATGTCTTTCTGGGCGCTTCCCAGTTACTGCACCTTTCCTGCTTCTACTTTTTTAATGCCCTCTCCCGCCATACTCTTAAAGATGCTCTTCACACACAATAGAAAACCTATATGTTTTCATAAATGCTAACAGCAACTTTTAAACCCTCATTCTGCTAATACAGATCTTGAGCACCTCATCCAGTTTTGCCTTACAGTTATTTGGATGGGAAATACTGTTTATGGAAGGACTGCAGATAAAGAATTTTAAATCAACACCTTACATGTGGCCTGTGTTCTCCTCCAGCTCAGTTATGGTTCATTTGATCCAGTGCTAAGTGATAAAACCCGATTCCCTTTCTTCTATCGGATGGTACCAAATGAAGTCATGCAGATTAAAGGGGTAATCCAGTTACTCCTGCATTTCTCATGGAAATGGGTTGGTCTCATTGCCCCAGATGATCACAGTGGAGAAACATTTGTTCAGACTCTGAAGGGATTGCTCACTCAGCATAATCTTTGCGTGGCTTTCACTCATAGTATCTTGGCAATAACCTCTGCCAGTGACACAGATATAGAAAAGGAAGCGGCAAAAATGTATCACACATTCTCTCAAACCAAAGCCAATGTGGTTGTTGTATGTGGGGATTCCCAATCCCTAATGCTATTTACTTTCTGGATAGATGTGAATTATCAAGGTGCTCAAATGGCTCTCGTAGGGAAAGTTTGGATCATGAATGCCCAGTGGGACTTTACTGCAGTGGACTCTCAGAGTTTCTGGTCTCTAAAACATTTCCATGGTGCTCTGGCTTTCACAATTCACACAGCGGTTGTGCCAGGTTTCCAAGATTTTCTTAAGGCCTTTAATCCTCAGCGATATCATCCAAAAGACGTGTTCATGAAAGAATTCTACAAGAAAGTATTTCACTGTGGAGTTATCTACTCTGATAGGACCAGTGAGATAAGATGTTCAACAGAGGAACACCTGGAGTCTCTGCCAGGAGCTGTGTTTGAAATGAGCATGTCTGGTCAGAGCTATAGTGCCTACAATGCTGTTCATGTCATAGCACATGTTTTACATGAAATGCACTTATCTACCTCCAAGCACATAAAGTTGGGGAAAAGAAGCAGATTCGGACTGAGGAATGTGCAGCAGCAGGTAACATGTTTCAATATTTATTATTATTTTATTGATAGATGATGCTGATCCTGATGGTGATGATGTGACCAAAGTCAATTTGCCCAACTTGATGCCCTCCCTAATTTGAACTGAAAATCCCATCATCCTTGATCATTCTCCAGGCTCTAAGATTTCTCCAACAATCCCTACCATATGATGTGATTATTTTGTTTTGTTTTAAAAAAGCTACACCATATGTTAAGAAACATCAGGTTTAACAATAGTGCTGGGGAAGAGATATTTTTTAATGAGCACCAGGAGTCTACAACTGGATATGATATTGTGAATTGCTATGTGTTCCCTAATGGATCCCTCATTCGAGCTAAAATTGGAATAATGGACGCCCATACATCAGTACACAAGAAGTTTATCATTAAAGATAATGCAATAACTTGGAACAGTTGGTTCAACAAGGTGGGTTATTTTAGTCATTAATATTATATGCACAAATAACAAAGTCATTGTGTCATGCTTCATAAGCCATAAGTTCTGCACCACCCACATGCAAGAGGAGACATCAGCAGTGTAAGAAGTTCCCCCAGATATCTAGAAAAGTTGGGGAGCCTCTAACCCCCTGCAACTGGCACTTGGGACTCTCACTAAGCCACACTCCTATTTCCTCTGCTTTGTACCCTCCTTTAGAGTTCTTGCCTCACTAGAATGTGCCCTTGAATGCCCACCATCTATTATACAATGGTGTGAGGGAATCACATTTGAGCATATTTTCTATAGACATCAATTTCACTTGAATACGTACTTCGACATCTAGAGGGTTTATATGAATTCATACTTTTAACTTAAGATGTATGTTCTGATGGTTACTATGTCCACAAAATAACCTATAGTGTTTTGTTGTTGTTGTCTTTTATTAGTATTTTTAAATTTTTCTTTCGTTCTTCACTTTCAGTGATTTCCCCCCTTCCTTTTCTTACTTAAATATGATAATAATAAAAGGAAGGAAGGATAGCATGGATAAATTTGCCCCCAACAGAATTGTGATGTGTCATTCCTTAGTCATATGCCAGTAAATAGTAATAGTGTGACCTTTATTTGAGTCAGGGGTAAGAATGTAATACAACTAGTGCAATAGTCTCAGCTGTTCCCTATGTCACTATTCACAGGATTACACCTATCTACCCCAAGTGAAGGATTAGCATCCTCCACCAGCAATACTTTAATCACCTTATTTTTCTATTTAGGCCCTGCCCCGTTCTGTGTGTTCTGAAAGCTGCCATCCTGGATACAGCCAGAGAATTCAGGAGGGTAAACAAGTCTGCTGCTATGATTGCACTCCATGCCCAGAAGGGATGATTTCTAACCAGACAGGTAGGAAAGTCCTGGAGTCCCATAGTTCTTTCAGTACTAAGTATGGGGCTGGGTGAAATTTCTTTCTCCACTTCGCAACCCAATTTGCATGAAGCGAAAGTGTGTGGACAAGTGGGCAAGAGTTACAGTGATGGAAAGAAAATGCCCATGCTCTGTAACATTTGGCTGGGATGCCCCTGAGAATGAGACTGCATGATGATATATTGCCATTCCCAGCACTGTAAATCTGACTTTAAAAAGAGAAATCTTCATACAAACTACCATAAGTTATAGCCTGAAGAAGGGAAGAGCATGAATGCCAACTAATTCCTCCGGGTAAGCAACAAAGTTAAAATTCAGCAAGCCTAGCAGCAGTGAAGCTGAAAACCCCTCCCCACAAAAAGAAAACAACTAAATATTAAAAACTTTGTATCAGGGCTACTTAAGGTGGTGTAGTCAAGATATACTTGAACTCCAGCTCCCATCATCCCTGACCATTGGTCATGCTGGCTGGGAATGACGGGAACTGTATTCTAACAGTATCTAGAATATTGGCTACCCCTGCTCTACATACATTTCTGATGGGCTTTGCCCACAAAATCCTTGTTCCCTGATTCTACTTTGATTTCACCTGGTATCTTACATCACTGACAGTTTCTACTCTTTTAAAAGATGCAGATCATTGTGACAGATGTCTAAATGAGCAACGCTCCAACCAAGAACGGAATCAATGCATTCCAAAAGTAATTCACTTCCTCTCATATGAAGAACCTTTGGGAATGGCTTCAGCTACCTGTTCCCTCATGTTGTCTTTAGTCACTGCTCTGATACTTCAAATATTCATTAAGCATCAAGACACTCCAATTGTCAAAGCCAACAACCGAGATATCACCTACATTCTGCTTGTCTCTCTCCTGTTTTGTTTCCTCTGCCCCTTGCTCTTCATTGGTAGGCCAGGGAAAGTGACCTGCCTTCTCCGACAAACAACATTTGGGCTCATCTTCTCTGCTGCTGTTTCTTCTTTGCTGGCCAAAACCATCACTGTGGTCCTGGCTTTCAAAGCCACACAGCCAGGAAGCAATATGAGGAAATGGCTGAGGAAAAGAGTAGCCAACTCCATTGTCCTGTTCTGTTTCCTTGGCCAATTTGTAATCTGCACTGTATGGTTAGGAGCAAACCCTCCCTTCCTGAGCTTAGACATGCACTCTGAAAGTGGACAGATCATAGTTCAGTGTGATGAAGGATCAGTCACTATGTTTTATTGTGTCCTCAGCTACATGGGCCTTTTAGCCATTATCAGTTTTCTGGTAGCTTTCCTTGCAAGGAACCTGCCAGATAGTTTTAATGAAGCTAAATTTATCACTTTCAGCATGTTGGTGTTTTGCAGTGTTTGGGTCTGCTTTGTTCCTACTTACCTCAGCACCAAAGGGAAATACATGGTAGCTGTGGAGATCTTCTCCATCTTAGCCTCTGCTGCAGGTTTACTTGGCTGTATCTTTTTCCCAAAATGTTATATTGTCATTTTGAAACCTAATCTTAACACAAAAGGGCATCTCATAAGGAAATTCGACTAGTATCATCTTTGTGGCATCTTCTTCATTTTCTCATCAGAAATCAACCTGTGTTTTGACCCTAACTCATCTTCCAGAATAAAGCATATCTGCTCATCTTCCAGAATAAAGCATAAAGCAAAAATGGGGGGGGGGTATCATGAAAAAGGCAAGTTCTAGAAATGTATTTATATGTTTTCAGATTAGGTTTGTGTTAATTTGAAAATATATTTTGAAAATAAGGAAGGAAAATACAGTGAAGTTACTCACTTTCCCCTCCCATGCATACACATCAACATGAATCAGTCAAAACTGATAAACATGGCAACTAAATTGTACATACCTCAATCTATCACCCATTTATTCTGGTCTTTACTCTGACCCCAAAAGTCATGAGGTTCATCAACATTTCTCCAGTCTACATGTTATTTCCAGATACCTGATCATGTTTATTTATTCTATCTCACTGTCACTAAACACTGAGAATGATATGCTGTCATTTCTGATGTGAGGCATGCCAATTGTGAGGTGATAATTGAAATAAGTTATTTCCAATGTACCAGCACCAAGTTCTTATAACAACAATTTCAAGGAAAGGAAATCATTATGAGATTGGTATCTCATAAATTGGGTCCCATGGGCCAAAGGGGAATCTCTATGGGAAGTGAAAACATTAACCAATCCTACTGAGAAATAACAGGCCATACATTAATAGGAAAACAACATCAATAGTGTTGCTGACCCTGTTGCACTAGAATCAGTGTATAAATAGTTACCTCACAATGTTGCTTTAGAATTCAAGAAGATCACCAAGCAATACTAATGGATGATCTAACTATAGACAACCTGGGTTTCTGCCATCTTTCTTTAGATTGAGAATAGTTGTATTTTTAATGCTTCACAGTGATACTTGGTGCAATTGTTTTTGGAATAAAACTTATTTCTTGCCTTCCATGCTAAGTTTTCTATTCTTGAGAGAAATTAAATGCACCTTCAGATATCTGCAGTGTTATGAGGTGTGTGTGCATTCAGATTATCTAGGAGACAGCTGAGGAAGGTGTATAGGTGAACCTCCCATGGTTCTTTTAGAAATTAAGGCAGGAAGAATTGTTCTGGGTATTTGTTTAAAAAAATCATATTGAGAGGGAGACAATGACTAACTTGGGCAAGAAAATCCCTTTGGCACACTGACAAAAAAAGGTAAGTTGTTTTTTTTTGGGGGGGAACATATAGTGATGGGCCATCTTGCCCATTGCCCTAAGGACCCTTAATCGATTATCTCAAAACAGATGTGTGCGAAAGCTATGGAGTGTACATGGCCCACACTGGAATAGAGTACTTGCAAATCTTTCTTCTTCAATAGAAATATAAAAAGGTCACATTCTCAGAGTCTTCAGCACATGGGCATTTAAACACTGCTTGTTGTTTCCAGTTGAATTCTGTTTTGAAATGGTCACTTGAAATGTCTTTTTGAAAGCCTCTTGGTGTTTTGCTCAAGTAAAAAACTGATAAGGAGAGGTCTGAATCATAGCACAGTCCCAGAGCCCATGTTTTGCATGCAGAAGACGCCAGGTAAAAAGTATGATGTAGCAAGAGTTGGAATGGGGACTAAATTTGGTAGCGTGTTAATAACTTTGAGCATCATCAGAAAACAGCTCTCAGTCATTCATTTGTTTTCCTAAAAACAGGTTTCCCCACAGAGACTGCAATCCTATACACATTTAATTGGGAGTAGGCCCCAGTGAACTCAATGGGACTTATTTCTGCAAAGATGTGCATAGTATTGTGCTGTAAATCAGCAGCTTTTTCTGTATTCTATGGTGAGCTGTGGTCCTTCTGCATTTTGCTTACTATGCATGAAAGGAGCAGGAGTGCAGCCCATATCAATTAAAATCAGTACTAATGGACCTACAGTCCAATTACATATCAAGAAGTACTGACATTCACATCAAACCTAATTAGAATTAAATCAGAGGAGAGACTTGTCTGAGATCTTTATGTCTGGGGTATGAAGAATTTATTTTTCGGGATGCTTAAAATGAAAAGGGACTGCAAAGTGCTCTAACTTATCCAAACTGAGTAAATACGCAGTAAGATGGCAAATGCAATTCACCATAAACAAGAGTAAAGTGATATATGTCAGGGAAGGGAGGAATTTTAATTTCACTTATGCATTCATGGGGCCTGAAATGGCAGTGACTCACCAGGAATGAGACCTTGTAGTGAAATTGAATAACTTAATGAAGTTGACAACCCAGTGTATGGAAGATATAAAAAAGTCAAATTCCATGCTAGGGACCATTATTTTTAAAAATGAAAATAAAACTGCTGTTCTACAAATAAATGGTTTGATTGCATTGGAACAACGTGTAAGGTTCTGGTCATCACCTCTAAATGATACAGTATAGTAGGGATAGGTTCTGGAAATGGAAACCAAATAAAATAAGGTGATGGAGAGACTAAACCATGAGAAAAGGTTACAGCATTTGGGAGTTTTTAATTTAGAGAAAAGGTAAATAAGACCCAACAACATAAAAGTTTATAAAATTATGGATGGCATGGAGAAAGTGGGTAGAGACATTTTTCTCCCTCTATCATAAGGCTGTAATTTATGGACATCCAGTGAAGATGAATGTTGGAAGATTCATGACAGATAAAAGGAAGCACTTCTTCATGCAACACATATTCAAACTATTGAACTTGTTCCCATGGGAGATAGTGATGTCTACCAACTTGGACGGATTTAAAAGAGGATTGGACAACTTCAATGCGGATAAGGCTATCAATAGCTACTAACCATGATGGCTGTGCTCCGCCTCTACAAGTAGGAGGCAGTATGCTCCTGGATACCAGTTCCTGGCAAGCTCAGAAAGGTAGAGTGCATTTGTGCTTGAACCCTGCCTGCAGGTTTCCCACAGGGATCTGTGTGGCCACTGTGAGAATAGGAAGCTGAACTGGTTGGACGACTGACTTGATCCATCAGGTTCTTCTTATGTTTGCATGCTAAGTTCACACTCTTTTTGTGAATGTTGCCCAAGTGGAAGTGCAGCCCTTGGCCTGAAATATATTTGCTACCCCTGCTCTAGAATGGTAACCTGCATAGATGAAAAAGAACTTACTATTACATTACAAATGTAATCCACAGCTGCCCTGTGAGTGTAAACACCATAACATGTATTATTAATATCTGTCTGAAGCTAGGTTTTTGCTATTTGTTATTAAGAATATATTATATTAATTTTATTTTGAAGGTTGTTAACAGATACAATATGATCTCAGAAAACCAAACTTCTGTGAATGAATTCATCCTCCTTGGTTTCTCTAATCCTCAAAGGCTTCAGACTTTTCTCCTGGCACTCTTCCTATTGGCTTACATCTTGGCCATATGTGGGAACATCACAATTATCACCATTGTTCAGTTACATCAGAAGCTCCAAACTCCCATGTATTTATTCCTAAGCCATTTGTCTTTGATAGAAATTGGACACATGACAAACACTATCCCCAAAATGTTGTTCGACTTCTTAAAAGACAGGAAAGTGATCAGCATGATTGGTTGCTTCACACAGCTTTACTTCAACCTCTTCCTGGGCCTGACAGAGAACTTCCTGCTGGTGCTTATGGCTTATGACCGCTTCTTAGCCATCTGTAACCCTATGAACTATACCTCAGTAATGAACAATAGAGTCTGTAAATCGCTGATTCTTGGGTGTTGGGTGGGAGCTTTCCTTGCTCCCTTGCCCCCAACCATTGTTCTCGCTACGCTGGATTTCTGTGGGCCCAATATAATCAACCATTTCTTCTGTGATCTTGCCCCAGTGCTGACTCTTCCGTGTAGGGGGAAATCATTCATTGAATTTTTCTTTTTCATGTCCATTTCTTCAATGGTTTTGGGTTGCTTTTGCTTGATTACGGTGTCTTATATCAACATCATTGTGACTATACTGAGGATGCCATCCAGTGGGGGGAGGCGTAAAGCCTTCTCCACTTGCACTGCCCATCTTAGTGTAGTATTAATATATTATGGCTCAGTCATCTATATGTATGTGAGGCCTTCAGCAAGGGATATCCATAATACAGACAAAGTAGTGTCTGTCTTCTATTGTGTGGTGACACCATTTCTGAACCCTTTCATCTACACCTTGAGGAATACTCAGGTCCATGAAGCATTTAAAAGCATAATAGTAAAGAAGAGAGTATTCTATTAAGGTATGCTCAATTTTTAAAAACTTCTTTATTTAATGCCAGAAATACAAATTCTAATACAGATATTATGTGTGACTGAAATGCCATCATTTCTTATTGCGACAAATACTTGAATACCATATAGATATATATGATATAGATTGTTGAAAAATTATGTTGTTTGTTTGAATATATTTTATTATTTTACAAGAATGAATAAAACATAACCATTTTATTCCACCCTGGGAATCCTTCTTTTGTTTTAACAAAGTGTGCTAATTCCACCAAAAGAACATGAGACATTTCTAAATTCCAGAAATAATGAATCACAATAAAAGAATACTTCATTTATGTAAGCTAAAATAAATCAACATTATATTGATATTATAGCTACATCAACTAGGCAAAGTACACAACTTAGTGAAATCCAAAATGCAATGAGGAAAATTGCATTCTATGTAAAAAGAGTGTTGTTGTTGTTGTTTAGTCGTTTAGTTGTATCCAACTCTTTGTGACCCCATGGACCAGAGCATGTCAGGCTTCCACTGCCTCCTGCAGTTTGTTCAAACTCATGTTCGTAGCTTCGAGAACACTGTCCAACCATCTCATCCTCTGTCATCCCCTTCTCCTTGTGCCTCAATCTTTCCCAACAACAGGGTCTTTTCAAGGGAGTCTTCTCTTCTCATGAAGTGGCAAAAGTATTGGAGCCTCAGCTTCAGGATCTGTCCTTCCAGTCAGCACTCAGGGCTGATTTCCTTCAGAAAGAGTGTATAAGGTTCAGAAAAATGAGTACAATTTAAATACATACTTTTTGTGCATTCTTTCAAAAATACCCAAGCAAAATT